CAGTGTCCTTTGCTTTACAGAAGCTTCTCAGTCTCAGGAGGTCCCATTTATTCAATGCGGCCCTTACTGTCTGTGCTGCTGAGGTTATACGTAGGAAGTGATCTCCTGTGCCCACTTGTTGTAGAGTACTTCCCACTTTCTCTTCTAGTCTATAACAGTCTTAACAATGTTAAAACTCCAAATTTCAATGTCTCTTCTGAGATTCATGCAATCTCTTCACTGTTAACCTGTAAAAATAAAAAATAAAAAAAATCACATCACATACTTCCAACATATAATAGCAGAGGATATATATTAGCATTTCAAATTGCAGGGAAGAGTGCATAGTGAGGAAATGTATGACCAATGCAAGATGGAAAATCAGCTGAGCAAACTCCAAACTGCATCTCCATGTCTGATTTTGAAACATGCTTCAGATCTCCAATTCCATGTATCTTTGTTAACTACAGCACACTTATTTTTCTTGGGTTGGTTTGTTACCCCTGTTTTCAGCTCTCCTCAGCATGTATTCCATGACTCTGGCATCTCTAACATCTTAGGGTCTCCAAGGCAATACAGGCTTCAACTTCACAACTTCATGTAATGACATCTCTTGGTCTTCATTTATGAAGATTCCTGACACTTGCCTGTCCTCAGAAGCTTTCCTTAGGCATGAGAGCAAATCCCATAACTTGTTTCCTCAGTCCTTAACTATAAAGCCAGAAATAGTTGGTAAAAGCTAATTTCTGCTATTTTCTGAAGCTGAAACACATACTGCTTATTCAATTACATATTCACCAGCTTTCTGTTATTCACTGCCTAAGCTTGACTATTCTGAAACTTTCTCTATAAAATAGGCTGGCCTCAGACTCAGAGATCTGCCAGTCTCTTCCTTCTGAGTGTTTTCCCCGAATTAAAGGTGTGCTCCAACACACCTGACTAAACTTTTCTTTAGATTTTTTCAACAAGTTGTTAATTTAGCTGGGTGGCATCTTACCATGGTTGACCACCCTCTTTATTCCACTTCTTGAACACAGGACTTAATGCTTGCCCATTCATGGGTATTCATTTTCTTCTTAAATTTTATGTTTTCCAATTTACCCTGCTCCTATTCATTATAAGTGTTCATTAGTGTTACCATTAATAACCACATAACAGAATCCATACTGAGCTGTTTTGAGATTTCTTCTGCCAATAGAATTAATCCAAAACTTTTTTCTTTAACTTCAGTCAGAGTTTTTGGACAAGTGTAAAAAACAGCCACTTTCTTCATAAAAAATATCACAAGAATCTCCAGGCAACACATTAAAATTCTGCTCTCCTGAAACCTCTTGAGTGAGCCCCGACAGTTCAAATAAAGCTTAGCACCTCTGTCTTCCATGTTCCTACTAATATGACCTTTTAGACAGTGCTTAAAGCATTCCTCTGCTTTCTTAATCCAAAGTAATAAAGTCCAAATTCCTCAAAACAAAGACATTATTAGGCCTATCACAATATCTAAGTTCCTACTACTAACTTCTGTCTTAGGGTCTTTTATTGCCATGAAGAGATACCATGACAACTCTTATAAGAAATTATTTAGTTGAGGGGGCTCACTTCGGTTTCAGATGTTCATTCCATTATCCTCATGGCAAGGAGCATGGTACATGCAGGCAGATGTGGTACTGGATCTGAGAATGCAACATCTTGCAGGAAACAGAAATTTGACTGACTTACTCATGAAGTGACCTGAGCATGAGAAATCTCAACACTTGCCTCCACAGTGACACACTTTCTCCAACAAAACCATACCTACTCTGACAAGACCATACCTCTTATTCGTGCCATTTCCTATGAGATTATGGGGGATAATTACATTCAAGCTATTACATCTTGCTTCAAGCTTGTCTGTTTCTCATGTCTCAAGCGCTTGTTCTTACTACTGTGCTATGATTACCTGTTATGGCTATTCAAGTAATTAATCAGACTCAGGTTGGATGGATCATAGCAAGTCTGAGGCTGTGCCAATTTTATTGAGAGTGATCAGACTTACTATAACCTCATCAGAAACAGAATATAGTGGTGATTTCCACAATCAATATAGTTGTAGTTGACAGGAAATAATAAAGTTTTCAAGCTATAAGGCATACACAAGATTGGCGTCTAAGACCAATTGTTGGGCCAAACTATATGCTTCATTGACTTCTAAGAGAACTTTAAAAAATGCAAAGTGGACTGAATTCTTCATTACCTGATGGAAGATACACAGTCCCCAGGAGACATGAACTCTAACCTGAAAAAAAAATCTATGACACATGCTTTTCAATGCATTTAGGCTGAGCCAACTCCATTGTTCCCTGAACTATAACCTTCAATCTTCTAGATAACTCTGAAACTCATCCTTTACATTTGGGGTCCTGTAACTCCTGTCAATCAACATGAAACACTTGGGAAGATTGATACATGTTACAATCCAGCCTGGGTAGTTAGCTGAATATCAGGCCCACTTTTGGTGTCATGTGTGAGCTTTCTGTAGAAACATCAAATCCTGAGGAAGGATGGTAGGTATTTCTCATGAAAACTCAATGGCATATGTTATTCTGTCATATCTGGAGCACATCCTTTAACAGCAAAGACTTGGTTAACACTGGTCCAGGCTTAGCAGTGGAGGTGAGTGCAGTTGGAGGGACACAGCACTGCATAGTGTTAGATAGGCAGTGGTCAGTGAGGACCAAGAGAAGACAATGATGATCCGAGTCCATGTTCTGAGTCCAGGTTCTAGGACTGTACCATCAATCTATGAAGCTCTGTTCACAAAAGACAAAGACTTTCTCACACACAGCACAGCAGGCCCACCATGTCTGAGCACTCTCATTCTCCTGCATCTGATTATGAGTCAACTACCTGGTTCTCTAAGAACATGGATTGGAGGTAGAGTTTAGAGAGACCTACATTGGTTGAAAGAGGACTTTGCAATGATCAGAGGTCCCACAGTAACATCTTCTGTGTGTTGTCTGCTCAGCACTGGAACTGCTTCCCAAGGCCAATATCACACGTAACAAATCTAAGGGTAATGATGTTAGCCTTGAAGCATGCTCCTGAAATTTGGAATACAATTGTAGAGGAAAAAATGGTTAAAACCTGTCAGAAGGTGACAAATTGAAGATGTCTGAGGGCAACAGGATTCTGAGTGTCACAAATGACATAGATCCCTATGAGTGTGTAATCTTGAAATGAGTGACTTTGACCTGGAGTGTTCCATTCAACCTGAATGTTATCTGTATGTCAATTCGATAGCATCATGGATATAAATGCCTACAGATAGAGGGCTACAGCTTGGACACTCAGTCCCTTTTCAGTTGGGACAGAGATCTACCACACAGATGCCTAGACTGGCTGGGGCACCCTAGCCTGGGCCAAGCACATGTAGTTTGCTTGAGGTATAATATGGTAGGGACCTTCTCCTTCCTAGAGAGGCTCATGCTGGTTGTGAAAAGGGACATCTCAGACTCCGGCTCAGAGCACTCCTGAGTGTACAGTAAATCTATTGTGTGTGTTATGCTGGTGATAGATTAAAGCTTGTGCATGTGGCACAAGTACTCTTTTATTAACCTGCCCATCAGCTTTAGTAGGGACCTGCTTAACTACAATTATAGTAGAGCTCAAAAAATACTATGGCCTACTCTGCATAAGACTTTCCTTAGAGAGTAGGGTACCCATCTTGGTGGCTGATCACTCACATCTTGGTTTACTCTGTGCAGTTACAGCCTGTGCTCCAGAGTTTCTCTGAGGTCATGGGGATAGGTGGGTTTGGGGGTGGAGTGGTACTTATAGATTACAGGGTCCAATCTATGGGTGGGGGTGTTGGAGAAGCTTACCTGCAGGAAGCTTACCTGAGTTAGTGAGATCCCACCAACTCTGGCCTGACAGTGAGGGAGCAAGCATTGGACTCTCAATATCGGTGGCAGTTGTATGACTGGGGCAGATTGTGAGGCCAATGGCAATGAGACCAGGATTTATCCCTACTGCTTATACTGGTTCTTTGGAACCCATTTTATTTGGAGGGATACCTTGCTCAGCTCAGATATAGTGGAGAGGGCCTTGGTACTCCCTCAAAACAATGTGCTACACTTTATTGACTTATCATGGGAAGCCTTACCCTTTCTGAGGAGTGGCTGGAGGGGTGTAATGGGGGAAAGTAAGAGGAGGGGAGGGAGGGAGATCTGAAATTGGAATGTAAAATGAGAATAAATTAATTTAAAAGACTTTCCCTTTCCTTATGTTGACATAACATGTAGCTTTATTCCATTAGTTCCAGATGGTTCAGATGTTCTGAAACAAATGCTGTTGGGTTGTTGCCTTGAAATCCATTATAGGAAGAGGGACCCCATGGTTCTTTTCAGGTTACACAGGTCATCTCTTACCAAACCTCTGTATACAACTACTCCAGAGTTTCTCCCGAGTCAGAATTTTGACCTGTTATACTAGTGAGAAATGATTGATCTTCCTCTCTAGTCATCCCTCAGCTGGTCCCTTTGCAGCTCTCACAGTAACCTCTGTCACTGTCCTGCTAGGAGTAAATTCCACCTTCCTAGAGCACCGAGAACACAGGGCAGATTAAGTGATCATCTTGGTCTTTGGGACACAAGGACACGTAGGGATACCTCATTGCATCTAAGAGGTCCAAGGCCAGGACACAGCAGTGTCAGCTTTGGGATGATCTGTTATTCTCTGAGAGCATGGGGATGATTATCAGCCTTGTTGCTCAATGTGTTGTTGCTTGGAGGTAAAATATAAAGAGATAAAAGTTGAGGAATGTGAGACAGCACTGAAAGTAGAAGGGAGAACAGTGTCTTGGACAGACACTACCCATAAAAACCTGTTGGATTCTCAGAAGTTATCCTGCCTAGGCGAACACTGAGCTTAGAGTGAGGAAGGACAGCTGAACTTGGTGGCTGTGTTGGAGCTGAAGCTCTTCTTCTCAGAGGGAAGACAGCGCAGTGAGAAGATAGATGATGATGCCCTTTGTGCTTTTCTTCAAGGGGTACAACCCCTGGAACAGGCTCCTATTCACAGGTAAGCATATCTACTCTCTAAGTGTGAAGGAAGGGGAACTCAGAAGCAAGATAGGGTCTCCAAAATTGGACAGGAGCCCCATGAAAGACTCAGGGTTTCTGTTTGAAGTCAAAGGTCAAAAGGTACCATAAGGTACAGAGGCTCAGCAGCTAGAAATCCTTATCAGACAGGGGGTGATGAGGGAAAATTAAAAGCCCCAAACATTCACTGTTCAAAGTCAGTCATATTAGCTGTCATTTTCTGAAGCCTGATATCCCCAATCATGACTGAGTGACTCTTGAAGCAGACACCAAATTGCGGTGGGCCAGTGAGATTGTTCATTGTCCAGATATACAAGCAAGCTAAATTTATTCTTCAACCCACATATGGTAGATGTAGAGAATGGGTTCCTGAAGGATAAATCCTCTCCTCCACACAGGAGCTGACACATGCAACTGTAGATGTATATGCTAGGACACATGCTTCCACACAAGCACCATTGCATGGACTGGCCCATGCACACACTAAGGCAGGTCCTTTATAAATACACACATATAATACATAAGTAAATGTAAAATGTATGAGTAAATCATTGTCATTATTGTCAAACTTAGGAACTATGTAGATAAATCCATGCGTGTAGTCCTTCCTTTGTTCATTCATTCCTTCCTTCCTTCCTTCCTTCCTTCCTTCCTTCCTTCCTTCCTTCCTTCTTCTTTCCTTTTCCCACTGGTGTCAGGTGTCAGTGTCCTTTATGGAACACAACCTTACAAAGAGAACAGGACCTCACAAAACTGTGGTAAAAGTGGACTAGAAATCAGATTGTTTGGGACATGAGGTCTTAGGTTATCTAGAACCACAAGGGAAAGAGGAAAAGTCAGAAAGTTAAAGACACTGTAGCAGAGATCAGAGAGGCATTGCATCTTGCACCAAATACTCTTTATTTGAGGAGGGATATGGGGACAGTGTGTTGGGAGCCAGGCAGACACCTGAGAAAAAAATCATATATACAGGAAATGATATAGCTAGAGGCTTAGAGGGAATGGAGGTCATACTGCTCACCTCTATCAAGGAGGGTCGACAAACACCTCCCTATACACCTCAACTGAGTGATGAACACACATCAGTGTTGATGTTGACTGTTTTTCTCTCTTTCTGCCTAGCTTCCCTTTTAACCTGCTGGCACCTGTACAACACTGTCAAAATCACAATTGACTCAGAGCCACTCCAAGTGGTTGAAGGAGAAAGCGTCCTTCTACAGGTCAACAATCTGCCACAGAATCTTCGAAATTTTGCCTGGTTCAAAGGGGTGACAAATATAAACTTCAGAATTGCATTATATTCACTGACCAGTAATCTATGTGTGATGGGGCCTGAAAATAGTGGTAGAGAAGCTGTGTACAGCAATGGATCCCTGTTTCTCAAAAATGTCTCCCAGAAGGACACAGGATTTTATATACTACGAACAGTAATTGGAGGTGGAAAAATTGTATCTACAACCAAATAACTCCACGTGTATGGTAAGTGATTCTCTATGAACTCTGGGCTCCAGGTGGTACTCATTTCAGTGGACACACAAAGAAACATCAAACTTAGCTTGTGCCTATGTTCCCTTTGTGTTGTGTCCTCATGTTGGGTTTTGAGCATTTGCAGCAGGGCATGCATGATAGAGAACAATTGGAATAGGTCAGAGTTCTTCATCTAATGTCACTTTGTAGGCAGTTGGATGCATGGTGAGCAACTCAGTCTAGGGTATCAGACACTGTCTAGACTCCTGGGGTTCTCATAAGGAATGTGTCCTTGAGAAAGTCCTCAAGGGACAGAGAGTGGACCTGGTTGAGAATGCAATGGGATTCCCACAAAAGAGTAAACCCCAGGAAGCCCTGGTGGGCTCAACACCAAATAGTTCAACACCAGGTAGCATGGACAAGCATTTTCCTAAGGTTACATTTTAACTTCTTGATATCAGGGAAGAGTTTTTTTTTTTTAAATAGTTGAGGTCACCTCAGCTAGTCACCAGTTGTAACCAGCTAGTCCACTGTCATGAGAGCTACCTTTATGCTAGATCCCCAGACATCTTCTCCAGAGACTCACCAGTGAGAACATAGTTCAAGAGGTGTCTATGCCATGCAATAGATATCCTGATGTGCTTATGAGACTTCCAGGAAGGTCATGGTTGCCAAGAGAAACAGAGAACACAGGTCCTCCTGACAATTGCTTGTCCTCTGGGATGCATCTCAGAGAATTCTCCTCTGGAGGCAAAAGATTAGAAGACCTGAGTTATAGAAATGTCTTCTTCACCCAAACCCCTACACTGAGACATACTGTTGCACAAATTCTCACTCAAATTTAATTTGTAAATAAATGTCAGAAATAATGCCAATGAAAAAAATTTACACTATATAGCCAAACCAATGAATTTCTTAAATCCATGAATATACAGGTTCAAGAATATCTTTCATTCATTTATTCTATACCAGTATATGAAATTTTCTAGGCAGCATTTTCTTTGAAAATATAAGACAAATCATGGTCTTTAAATTGCTCCATTTTGAATGAGTTTAAAGAAAAAAGCCAGAATGTAAAGTCAAGTGTTGACTGGAACCACAAAAGGAGCAGAACAACAACAACAAAAGTCAGAGCATGAAGTTGCAGGGTATATAGGGGAAGAGGTCAAACAGGTATCACCCAAACATAAATAAAAAAAATATTTATTGTACCATAAATACAAACAGTGATCTGAGGGCAGTGTGCCAGGCCATGTTGACAACTGAAGAGAGAGTGCTATATAGTGGAAATGACTATTTTGGGGACACTGAGAACATGGAGGTCATGTGCTAACCTCCACCAAGTAGGAAAGGGAGTCATTCACCCAAAAACTTAGGCTGAGAAATTAACGCAGCTGTGCAGGACAGAGATATTCAACCTATGAAAATGCAAAGGTGCCTATTGGATTGATGGATTTCTCTCTTCTCTTCCAGCCTCCCTTTTCACCTGTGGGCACCCTCCACCCTCTTCCAAGCCCACTATTGAATTAGTGCCACCCCGTGTTGCTGAAGGGGCAAGTGTACTTCTACTTGTTCACAATCTTCCAGAGAATATTAAATATCTTTTCTGGTACAGAGGGGTGTTTGCGGTGAAGAGATTTGAGATTGCCAGACATATAAGAGAACTAGATTCAAGTGTGCAGGGGCCTACACATAGTGCTAGAGAGTTATTGTTCAGAAATGGATCCCTGCTGCTCCACAACGTCATTTGGAATGACACTGGATTCTACACCCTACGGCTTCTGACTACAGATCTAAAAGCAGAAATAGCACATGTGAAACTCCAGGTGGACAGTAAGTGATTCTCTTTGATTTTTTTAGTGCTGGATGAAGTTTAGACACAAAGAACTGCCATGCCTGTTTCCCTTCTTCACTGTGTCTACTTGTTGGAGAGTGAGAAATTAGTGCAGGACATCTATGGTAGAGACAAAAGGCCATTGATTAGACTCTGCAGTCTGACTCCCTGCAATATCAAGGAAGATATTGATGGAAAGCAATCCATCATAAGATGTCAGACTCTTTCCAGTATTTTGGGGTCCTATCCATGCATGTGAGGAAAACATGACATCCTCCAAGAGAGGTAAGCAACAGGAAGCCCTGGCCACTGTAATATGTTCCAGACTTGACTACCTATGACCCAGGGGATTTTTGTGCAGGATTCAATTCTTACTTCTAAGAGCCAACAGGGAACAAGGATTTTTGACTTTCCATGCCAATCTCAGCTATATATTAGCTCCAAATTGAGAGTATCATAAATAAAATTTAGCAACTGGTTCAGAGACCATAGAAAAGTGTTGATTACTGATATGGTCCTTATGCCTTTTTCAGCTTATTCTCTCTTTTTTTTCACCTAAGGCTGATAGCCCAGGTGTGGAATACCAGAAGTGAGCTGGACCCCCTGCCACTAATCTCCAAAAAAACATATATTATATACTACAGGCTTACTCACAGACCAATCTGATAATCTGATAGTGGCATTTTTAATTGAGTCTCCTACTTTCCAAAGACCTCTAGCTTGTGTCAGCTTTACATAAAGCCTAGTACCTGAGACTTTTCTATGACTTGAATATGCTGAGAAGATCAGACTTCTCCTGACTTCACCTAGCCCAAATCCTGTGGGATGCAGGGCATAGTTATAAGAATTTTAGTCAGGGGTTGACTAGAGCCAACTGAACAAAAGGTAGAAAATGAAATTCTATGGTCTGTAGAGTTCAAGGAAGGCATCATCTAAAATTACAGTGATCATGAGTATGCACAGTATCTGACTGAGGATAGTAAGGTGTCAGCCATTTAGACAATGGCAGAGTCAGCTCCTTGCAGAAGAAATAACACATCAGAAGCACTAAGGGAATGGGGGTCATGTTGCTGGCCACCACCTTGAAGGATAGACACACCCACAATGTATCTCAAAACTGAGTAATGGATCCATCTGTTTAGGAAAGAGGTTGCCATCTTTCCACCAACCCAATGTTCTTCAATTGATGACTTCTTTTTCTCTTCCAGCCTCCAATTCTAAATGTAATCCTTCTGCCTCTGCCCAAGTAAAAATCGAAGCAGTGCCTTCGTATGCTGCTGAAGGGGAAAGCGTTCTTCTCCTAGTTCATAATCTGCCAGAAGATCTTCAAATGTTTTGCTGGTACAAATCAGAATATAGATCAGACATCTTTAAAATTGCAGAATACAAGAGAGCCACAAATTCCACCATCTTGGGACTTGCCCACAGCCAAAGAGAAATGGTGTACACCAACGGATCCTTGCTTATCCACAACATCACTGAGGAAGATGCAGGACTGTACATGCTAGAAATTTTAAACAGAGACTACACATTTGAAGATACACATGTGCAACTCCATGTGAACAGTTAAGTGACCATTTATGGCTTCTAGCTGTTGATTGTGGCTATCCTACTTCATACAGTGAACTGTTAGGACTGAGATGTACTTGCTCATTCACTCTCAGCATTGTGTCCCCACACTAGGATTTAGACACTTACTGAAAGACATACATAGATTAGACAAACTACAGTAGATCAGAACCCCTCGCCAGTCTCCCCTTGCAGAGAGAAGAATGTGTGTTAGATAACTCAGCATGAAGGATGTCAGACTCAGCCCAGACACTTAGGACTCTCACCATGCAAATGGCCCAAGAAAGACTCTGTGGGAGTCAGGCTGGCACTGTCTCAGGAAGCCATTGTGTCTTCACAGAGGTATCCAGCAAGTCCTAACTCCAAACCGGTGTCCCTGGTTCTTAATTTAATTTCCTGTTATTATTGGCAGGGAACAAGTGTTTCCTAACTGTCCAAGTCCCACAGATTGTGGGACTAACTGTGCACTGATATGGGAGCTGCAGTTAGGCAGATCACCTTGGCATCTCCTCTTCTGAGTCCAAACATACCCGTTACCAGACCATTAGCATCTTATTCTCAGGAAGGTCAATGTCCCAAATGGTAGAAACAGATGAAACAGTTACTCCATACTCCTTATTCTCAGAGGTTCCACCAAGGGAATTCTCTTCTGCAAGTAAATATTAACAGATTCTGTTGATTTGAGGGGCTCCCCCACTACAAGGTCAGGTTGCTGTCCTTAGCCAAGCTCAAATCATAGGCAAAGCAGTAATCATTTCCAACATGTTGTATTATAGGGAAACTGAGACACAGAAAACTCAGGAATTGAATCAGAGTCTTCCTGGCCATGGGTGGCAGATACAAAGCAGAAGACAAATCTATGGCCTAAGTACAACTTCTCTCCTCATGAGGCTTTATTAAGTGTGACGTATAGAGGGGTAGTCGAGTTCTCCGAAGGACTATTATCATAAGGTTTCCTTCTCTGTTTCTTTGTAGAGCCTGTGACACAGCCAATCATTCGAGTCGTCAACACCACAGTCACAGTACAGACCTCTGTGGTCTTCACTTGCTTCTCAGCCGACCCTGGAATCTCCATTCACTGGATCTTCAATAACCAGAGTCTGCAACTCACAGAGAGGATGAAGCTTTCCCCAAAAAAGTGCCAACTCAGCATAGATCCTGTCACGGGGGAGGATGCTGGAAAATATCAGTGTGAAGTCTCCAATCAAGTCAGTTCAAAAATCAGTCTCCCAGTCACGCTGGATGTGATGGATAAGTGACCTCTCCTCTCATCCTACAGTACAATGCCAGTGTCTATTTACTAATGGGGGTACAAAACAGAGGAAAGTTAAGAAGTAAAAATTGTCAGCTATCACTTGGATACAGCCATTATGGTGACTTACATCTATAATCCCAGCATAAATGTGCACATGGAAAAGCCAGGGTTTAAAGTGAGACTTGGCTTCTAAAGGAAAATAAAAACATCAATGCAGTAAATGCTATAATTTATTTTAAAATGACAGTAAGGAACACATCATACAACACGATCATATGGGATGTTTTGGAAAAGGGGCAGAAAAGGGGACAGAGAAGGAAGCAGACAAGGGGGCAAAAAAGGGACAAAATGTGGGCAGAAACTGGTCCCTAGGGACAAGAGTGCCAGAAGAGAAAGAGACGGGAGGTGGGAAAAGTCTGCCTTTTGTAATGGAACATAATGAATGTGGACAGTGGGCGTTCTAAGCGGCTTCAGTTGAGCACATATCCTGTCAGGACCCTTAGGGCAGGTCAGTGCAGATGCCTGAATACTATCATTTCTCCATTTTGTTTAATATAAAAAAGTAAAGAGTTATAAAGGGGTAGCAGATGAGGCAGGGATGAAGACATTGTGTTCTCAAGACTGCTTCATGACAACCTGGAGGGGTTTGGGAGACCTGAGAAAGTTGGGGTGCTGGACGCGTCCTGGGTTATCTGGCTGTTTCACTTTACTGTCCAGTCCAGGTTCTATGGAACTTTCAGGTGCCATTTGACCTGGCAAAATGCTCTCAGAGGTGTATGCAAATAGACTCCCTAGAGCTCAGAAGAAATTTGAGTTTACAAAAAGAGATAAGTTATAGACACATTAGAAAGCAACCAAAGAGAATATAGTGGCAGAGTATAGTGTTTAGTACTCTGACAGAGTTGGACTAACAGAATTCTATCAATTAATATCAAGATTGTGAATAACAACATAGTAAGAGAAATCTGGAACATGTTTCATTTATACATCTCAAATCACTTTACCCCTATCAGCCCTTAAGCTTTCCTATCTTCATATAAACAAACCTCGAAGCACCTGTTCCTTTCCCATCAACACACAGCATCACCTCAACACCCTCTTTCTATCCAATTTACAAGATTCAGGTGGTTGATTACTGATGGCAGTCAATAGTAAAAAATGTAACAGTACAAATTTGTACCAAATTGTTAAGAGTGTCTCCTGATAAATCAAGAAAGAGTTAAATGGGAAGGATCACCAGGACCAAATGGAAACAGAAAAAAGGAGCCTGTGAGCAGGGACTGAAGAAGCACAGAGGCCAGCATTGCCCTTGACAAATCATGGGGGCCTCTGCTCAAACACCCAACACTGGGAAAAGGACACTCTTGGGGGACCAGAAAATCCATTATAGAATATATATCTCGTTTATCAAATACTTTATGTATCAAACATATGTCACCCCTTATTTAAATTCTGTAGAAATTTGGTGTTGAACATTTGGTAAAGACATAGGTGTACTTAGGTGTAAATCTCTAAGTCAGCTTTTGTTAATCTTGATAGAACTTTAAAACCTTCGATTTTTATCACCATATAGAGTATATTATAAACTAAAGTTGAATCACATATAATTTTTCATTTCTATCATCATACAATCCAAAATATTTGAGGCTTGTAGTTTTCTTAGTCTAAAAGGAAATAAAATGAACAGAGAACTCATTAGGATTAGGAAATGTACTCCTTAACCTTAGTAAAAGATGACTGCCAGCCATGTAGCTGCTTACATCATGAAAAGGTCACCAGACAAGATGGAAGAGAGCCATGTGGTTGCTGTATAAAATATGTTTCTCTAAACATTAGATACATGCACATTTAGAGAGGGAGAGAAGACAGACATAAGCATGTCTTGGAGGAAAAAAAGGAAGTGGAGAATTATTTCTCTATTCCCCAACTGCCTGGTCTGAAATATATTGAAGCCAGTCTTACATCCAGGGGAATGGTCAGAGACAGATAGCCCTGCTAGAGATTCAAATGTTGGTATTGAATGGAAGGAAAAGTTGTCAGTCAACAAGAAAGCAAATGTGTTGCAGGTGGAAGAGAACAGATCAGAAAGCAGATTTGTTGCAGGTGGAAGAAAGCAAATCTGTTGCAGGTGGAGCAGATGGGTAGGATCCTAGCATGAAGTGAGCACCTTTGGCAGGCTCTGCCAAGGTAAGCAAATATGTCACACATAACAAAGTTAGTGCAAGAGATTTATTGCAAGGGGGAGAGCGAAAGAGTGGAAGAGTGAAAGGTTGCATCAGAGTGGGAACTTGAGAGAGGCAAGCAGACAAGAAGAAGAGAAGCAAGAAAAGAAGAGGAGGTAAGAGAGAAAATTAGAGACAAAAAAAGATCTAAAAGGCAAGAGATGAAGCAAAGAGAATGAACTCTGCCTGGCTGGTACTTTTAAAGCGTACACATGTTGCATAGCTGATGGTTGCTTGGGACCTGGTGACATACAACAGCTTAGGACAACAGAGGTGGTCTGCTGCTGTGAAAATTAGCATCATAATTCTTTAATAAAAGAAGCAGATTTAGATATAGAAGACCTCATTTTTTTTGTCTATTTGAGAGCTTAATAGGCTTCATAGCTAGAGGGAGAAGGGTAAAACAAGAAGAGAGAACAGAGAGAATGCTTGGAGTGAAGATAGGAGAAAGCTTGAGAACAGGATACCTCTACCACCTACCAGATTGTGGGCAGAATGTTGCAAAAGTCCTGTAAAATATCAGAATATAGGGTGCCAGGAAGTGGTCATTTAGATCGATATCTAAAGGCCGGAACTGACTGCAAAAGTGGACTAATTTAGAAGATACTAAGCATAAAAGTGTGAGGTTTTCTAAGAGGCTTCCCAGTGGGGAGCTTGGAGGTGTAGATGATGATTTATTTCCAACGAGTGAGGAAAAGAAGATACGAGGGTTTGCAGTTCTTGCCATCCTAGGAATTCAGAGACGATCTGTTGAGGAGGCACAGGCTGCTCAGTGAGTTGTAACACACAGGCATGGGTCAAGGCTCTAAGCCCTAAACATGTGGCTCTGAGCCTGAAGAAATGTGGATTACCTGGCACCAAGACTTGTCCAAGAAACCATGGTCAGGAGAATGGCCAGAGGTGGAGAAAGGGAAGTCTCACCAATCATGCTGGTGTGAGATGGAAGGGTCCAGTGATCTGTTAGTTGGAGAAGTGAGACTATCATATGTGGAATGGGTTCCAGGGTCCCAGCATGCCTTAGACTGCCAGCAGGCAGAAGGGAAGCACCAGGAGTGTGTGTCAAATCTCACAGAACCAAAGTTATAATTTATTTAAAGGCAGCAGAATGGAATCATGCCATACAACAGGGTTCACATAGGAGGTATATTGGAAGAGGAAAGAGAAGGGGCACAAAAGAGGTCAGAGAAGGGAATGGAGGGAGAAACTGGTGCCTGGAGACAATAGTGGAAGAGAAAGACGGAGGTAGACAAGGCCTGCCTCTTATAAGGGAGCATAGTGGTTGTGCACAGGGGCTGCAGCTGAGAACAACCTGTCAGGACCTTAAGGGTAGGCCAGTACAGATATCTGAATACTAATGGTAAACATAATTGAAAATAGGCTAAGAGCTTAGGTTGTGGATCAAATATATATTCAAACCTCAGAATCCATGGAAACTAATTTCACACAACCCAAATTTCTGAATGTAGTGTGTCCCTTGTTAAAATGGTGTAGTATTTGCACAGAGATAAAACTTTCATATGCTCCATTAGAAAATGGTGCTACCAAAAGCCATGCTTAACTCTAATCTTTGATGTCTAGAATTCCTTTTTAAGCTATCTCACGTTTTATGTGGATATAGTCAACCACATTGGCATGCCAATTTGTTGGGTAAGGCTGCTCATTTGTTCCTGGCTGCCCAGACTCAAAATAATCACACAGAAACTCTATTATTTGCAATACTATTTGACCAATAGCTTAAACATATTTCTGGCTAACTCATATCTTAAATTAACTCATTTCTATTAATCTGTGAAGGACTCCGCACGCTAATGTAGGTTATAAACTGAATCTCAGGTCCAAGTGTTAATTCTACCAAGTTCACACCCTACACTGGGCTGGGTTTTTTGCTTTTGGTTGTATGTAACAGTGTAGAGAAGAAGACAGAGGAAAAAGATTGCCTTGTTTAGAACTTTTGACTTGGAACAGGCCCTCTTTTCACTAGTGTTGACCTCTCACATCCCTGCCAACAAGGTCAAAAAAATTCATGAGGAGATAAATCACAGGTAGATGCAGAGGGATATGAGGGCTCAGCGATAGACCTCAGAGGGCTCAGAGGGATATGAGGCCTTTCATGAGATGTGAGAGAAACTATCTTCATCACACAGGAGCTGATATGCAGAGCTCAAAAGTAGACAGAACTAGGATGGTCATATAGCCCACAGTACTATGTTCCTTGGGATGTACCGATCAACCCTTATCAGCATCGGCCAGTTACCTCCAAAGCTTTGCTGTCTAAAGCTGTCATGCAGATAGGTGGTAATGAGAGTCCCCTTGTCACATCTCTGGGAATCCCCACAACCTGTCCTCAGAACTTTATTTGTGAGCAGAAGCCTCAATCAAGAGACCAGAAGCAGGCCTTCTTTCAGTTCAGTGGCACAGCTGAACCACAACTTGAACAGTTCTGCTCAAGTGGTTTGTGATGACTGATGTGAGCCAACATTTTCCTAAGAATGAAGCATGAATTTAGGAATGATCTCAGAACGTTAAGAATCCAGGCAGGATGTACAACAGACCCACAGTTAGGCTAGGTTGCATGGGCCTCACTCCTTATGAGTTACAATGAGAGCACAGCTGTGCAGGTCCCTAAGTCATTATCCAACTATTCTGATGGGTTTATGAGACTTCACAGGAATGTCAGGGTCCCTAAAGGGAGGAATAGAGAACCTGGCTCTTCAATGCTCTCAGTGACTAAGTCTAGACACTTCAGGCAAATAGTTACAGACACTACTGATGTAGACAATCATATTATCCTAGTGTCTGGTCCCTGTTCATAGTCAAGGCTACATCATTATAGGCCCTGCGACCTTCACTAATCATGTGTCCTATATCCGAGAAACTAAAATACAGAAAAAAATACTCCTGTCTCTGGTGAATTTCTGCTGAATTCAAGGACTCCCCAGCCCACCTACCAGACAGGAAATGATGC